GGGATCTGACCCACACCCTTGCTTCCTATTTCATTCCCCATCCCTCTTGGATTGATTGTTTAGGCCTGTTATCTAGGCAGAATAGAAGAAAAGTCACATAACAGGAAGAAATTTAAATGTAGGACAAGCAAGGAGACTAGAGAGCAAATGAGAAGAAATCAGAAAAGATAGATCTCAATATTGAAAGTAAGAAATCAGCAATCTCTTTCAACTTATGAAAAAAATGCAAAAATTTCTCAGTATTAGTTTACTTGCTTTGTTTAATAAAAGAACATAGTCAATACAGGGCACAGATAAAGTAAAGAAAGGTTTACATTTGTTCATGGATATGGAAGCTTAAGCTTGGGATTAGTAGCTTCATATGTTTGGGATACTGGTGACAGTGTGATAAGATGGGAAAAGGCGAGCCAAGGTGMATAGTCACATATTATCCCAAGGTGTGGAGAGAGATGGGGTGGGGGAATGAGGAAGGAGAGGGAGGACAGAGTTGTGTATAACCACCATATTTGTGGACATATCTTTAATGGCCTGAGGCTCTCTCACAAGGCYTCACCACCTCTTACAAGGGAYKATCACCAGATAGTACCTTCTGGTACTACCACCTTATCACCCTGGGAGAAAGTCTCTATGTATGGAACTTTGGCAGAGACTCAAATTGCATGCACATTTTAGCAGTATGTTAGAAAGCAGAATTCCTGGTAGACTGARTGTGACTTATTTTGACCAACAGGAAGGATTTGGAATGAAAGTAGGACTCCTTTTTTCTTTTTTCTTAAGGTCTCCAAATGATGCCAACATGGACTTTGAAGGGTGAGCAGGTACAAGAGTTATGAGACAATGTCTGGTGTCACAACGAGGGAGATCACCTCTAAGCTCTTAGCAGTGGGACTTGAGTCACTGTAGGGGAGAAAGATGGAATCACAAGACCCAAGTTAATGGGATTTTAATGGGACCAATCAATACACTGTGGACTCCCACAGTGTGCAGCATATATTACTATGGTCCTTCAGGGTCAAAATGCACAGTCCAAATTAAACCTTTACCTGGTTTAAGCAGTATCACCTTCATCCACAGRGAGCTGCTTTTGCTTCAATGACATGAACTACTGGAACCCTGGGAGCTTCTCTGTTCTTAGGTTTCCTATTTCTTCTTTTCCCTTTGGCTCCTAATTGCCAAGTCAACATCCCAGGAGGAAAAACTGTTTATTCATGTAACCTTGAAATGTCTGAGACAATTTCAGATGTATCACAGGGCTCACTACAGAGATTAGAATTACTTGGGGGTGACTATGAGTTTCTAATTCACATGCATTTAAATATGTGATACATATTTTAATCTATTGGGTTTTTTCTGTTTTATATTGCATCTGAATGCTTTGTGGTAATTTTCTTTCAGTGAGTTTTAACATAAATGATAAAACTGATGCTATTATGGTTTTAATGTATTAAAATTAGCAATTCTATTTCCTCCTCAAATTTCAGATCCTCCTCTTTATTCTTGCATTACAAACAAACATGTGTACACAAATCTATGTATAGACATTCTATTGGATAGTTTTGACTACTGATCATAACATATTTTATTATGAGTCTTTATTCCTAATATGAGCAGATCTTTTAAAACAACAAAAATGATTTGGAAGGAAACAATAAGATTAATAAAAGTTTAATAAAATAATTATGAACAAATTAGAAATTATATTTATATTGGAGTTATAAAAATTATTTAAAAATAAAATCTTATTTCACAAAAAAAGTGAAGGAGTTTTATTTCTGAAATCCCCAATTATCTTTATCTAGCATTTCTAATCACCTTAAAATGTGAAAGTGTCTTAAAAATATAGAGATGGTCACACTAATGTGATCAGAATATTCTTAATTTTATTATCATGTATGATGAATATGGTTTTATTTTTTCTTTTGATATTGGGAAGAATATCCCACCTTCTCTCAAATTCTGCATTTCCACTAGTGCTAAAGGCATACAACTGATGACTTCTTGGAGTGCAGGCAGGTGGCATTCCCAGGCCTGTGGTGCTGCTGTCTGTGTCTGCAATCTCAACCCTGGGCTCCACTAAGGCTGCTTCAGACAGTCSCCAGGACTCAATGAGTGGAAGAAAACGCCTATCTCTGGAACTGGCGTGAAAACTCCCTACAAGCCTGGCTCTGGAGTATCAAAATGGGATCTATTCATAGGAAGAAGGGCCTGAAAGCGAACTCAAGGGGGAAAAGCACTCATTTCATGGACATTAAAGAAATATTCACCAATAAGGGCTGAGTTTGAAATAAAATAGATGAAATAGGTAGATACGGAGAATTCATCCATATCTGAATTTCAAGACATTAAATTTATGCATGTGTTGAAGAAATATGGGGAACCTGATCTGGGGAAAGGCATCAACTAAAACTCATGTGTCTCAGTTCCCCTGAAGTCACTGGTCTATGTGCGTTCCCAGCATCTGCCTCTTTCATGATATCCTCCAGGGAATTTCAGGGTAAAAACTAGAACAGGATGAGAAAGAAAATTCAATTTGCATAAAAAACTTTCCTCTGGGTATAAAGAGGCATGAAAATGTTCTGAGGACACCAAACTCACAGTGAGGAGTGTGAGGACACCAAGTGTTTGTGAGGACCCCCACCATGGCCCAGATGATGGTTCTACTAGTGCTCCTCTCTTATGGTTCTTGTCAGAGGAGGGGAACTGCATACTTAGGATACATAAAAGCAGTGTCTCAAGAGGACCTTGGTCTTAATAACAATAACTATCTGTCTTATTGTTTTTAGTGGTAGATTCATAGACCATTGTGATCCAGGAGCCATGACTTTCTGAGTTTCCAGGTGAGATGGTGACAATCACCTGTGGGCTTAGCTCTGAATCAGTCTCTACTGGTACTAGCAGCAGCCAGGACATGCTTCCCATGCACTTCTACTGTCTTTCCTATTTTATCTTCTCCCTTCCATTCATTCTCCTTTGTCTAACACAAAGGACTTTTATACTTACCCTCCTTACTCTTCCTTGCTATGAGTTACCACTCACATATCATAAAGACCATTTGGCATTTGGATTTTGGGGGCTAGCTGATTTCATTTAGTATGATAGTCTAAAGTTCCATCTATTTACCGACAAATGCCATAATTTCATTTCTCTTTAAGGCTGAGTAATATTCCATTTTACAAATGGCTGAATGTTCTCACTGATACTTGGATGCTAAATTATAATAAGGACACAGGAATAGGGAAGAACACAAGTCCTTTTATTAGAGAAAGAGGAATGAAGGGAAGGGAGGGAAAATGGGAATAGGAAAGATAGTAGAATGAATCAGATATTACTTTTCTATGTGCACATATGGATCCATGCCCAATGTAATTCTACATCATGTACCACCAGAAGAATGGGAATTTATACTTCATATATGTGTGATAGGTCAAAATACACACTACTGCATTCTAAAATTAGTAAGGACAAATAAGAAATAAACATAAACAAAAAGTTCTTAAAAATTCAGAATACAATTTATTTTCTCAGCTGAAACCATAGAACCCTTGTGAAATACACTGAATCATATTGAACAAATTTGAACAAAAGCTAATATGCATGCCCAGATCATCTCCATTCACGCCAGTGCCTAGAAGTGTGCATTTTCATCCATATCTGAAAATATTTGTGAGTCTTGCATTCTGAGTCCTTTCTGGGTCTCCAGACTCTGTGGCATTCCATGTAGCCAATTGTGGCTGAAATGCTTTATAGCTGTTACTGACTCATAGTCACAACACTTTGTCTCACTTGCTGTCAATAAGGGTCACAAAGATATGTGTCAGAGTTCTGTGTTTGGATTTGGTTCCCTGATGATTTAATGGCTGTGGCATGCTTGGTGCCTGGGAAAGTTTCTGTGCAAAGGCGTAGGATATCTGGTTGCTACGGTAATGCCCTCCATGCTAGAGTCTTATCAACTTCAATTTTAATCTTAGGCATGTAATTCCTGGGAATAAAGGAATTTACTTAGCTTGATAAATACAATATTTCACAAAGCTCCTGTGCTCCTGGAGCTGCCTGCCTAACAGTAACTACAAACAATGGACTCTCTTGAGAAATCGACAAATCTCCTAACATTACATGTTGTAACTGTAAAATGTAACTGCAGAATAAGCAACCTTACTGATACTCTAAACAATATTGTGGTTATGGTACTAATGACCTAATGTACATATTGGTAGAAATAAATGTGGCCACATGGTCAAAGAGCCACTTGGCCACCTTCCCCGCCTCTGCACCTTGTCTCTGTCTCCTATTTCTTATTATTATTCTTTACACATGTGAACTGAGAAAGCTTAAAAACATGTAAAAAATTATCTTCTAAATGGTATCAAGTGGCTACTCATAAGATTTCACAACTGAGTTCCATACCAAGGTGAAAGCACCTTTGGAACAAAGTTTTTTGTGTTTTGGATAAACTAGAGAATGGATAAACTTCAAGRTAATAAAACTAGAAACTTTATGTTCACCTGCTTAATCCTGATTTGAGAAGAAATTTATATCAAAGACAGGATCTTAGTCTTGTATGGAGTCAAGTGAACTATGCACACATTTACCATGGGAAGTCTGAGGAAAGCAAGAGGGTCATCCTTAGATAATGGGGAGGCCACAGAAGGGGCTCTCAGGCCTGATCCCTAGGCAGAAGCAGTRGAGATGAGRACTGTCTCAGGRGGTCTRATCAGAATGYCACATAATAGTATATATGGCCTTGAACAACAGGGGATGCTACAGACCAGTCAAGAGGGGTCAGGAAGGAACCAGAACTGCAGTGAGCCATCTGGCTCTGTCTGGTGCTCTCTTGTTAAGGCTCACAGCTGTGGTCGCCCACATGCCTGAGCCAACCTAACTCCACCCCTGCACACCCACTTGGAATCTTTATGTACAGGAGTCTGAACCAAGGATCAGGGTGCAATAAGAAAAATGTGGAGGAACTAATTTGCATGGATAGACCCTCCCCTTCTCAGAGTATGAAGAGGGCAAGAGAGATACTTGGGGAGACTTCTGTTCAGCTTCGGGAACAGAAGGCAGATCTCAAGATGACCTCCACCATCGCCTGGACCTGTCTCTCCCTCACATTCCTTGTTCAGTGCACAGGTGATATAATATGGAGGATGGATAGAGTGTGGGAGTCCTCTGATATGGGCYCTGATTCTACTCTTGTTTCTAGACAAACATCACCTTCTCTGTGTCTCTTCCACTTCCAGGGTCCAGAGCCCAGTCTGTGCTGACTCAGCAGCCCTCACTATCTGGGACTCCAGGACAGAGGGTCACCATCTCCTGCACTGGGAGCAGCAACAATATTGGTTGGTATAATGTGCACTGGTACCAACAGCTCCCAGAGACAGCCCCCAAACCCCTCATCTATGATAATAGTAATCGACCCTCAGGAGTCCCTGATCGCTTCTCTGGCTCCAAGTCTGGCAATTCTGCTTCACTGACCATCACTGGGCTCCAGCCTGAGGATGAGGCTGACTATTACTGTGAGTCTTATGATGACAATCTTGGTGCTCCCACAGTGCTCTAGGCTCATGGGGAAGTAAGACAAGAACCCCTTTACCATCTGTCAGGAGGGCCAACACCCAGCAGCTTTGCTCAGACCTGGTTTCTGGCTTTTTCTGCTACCACTACTAGAGGCCCAGATGAATCTAGGCTTAAAAGATAAATCACAAGAGATGAGGGCTAATTCTACTTTTCTAGAATTCATGTAATTCCTTGACTGACAAGCCTCTTGTCCTCTTTATTCAGAGTCATTCACAGCAGGATGTTCCTGGGAACATGTCTTCATATAAACAGAAATCCCCGCTCCTCCCTAGCTTAAGGGCCTGACTATTTAGGAAGCTGTGGTCTCCTTTTCCTGAAATTCAGGTCATGAGGCAGCCAGTGCAAGGATGGACATCTCAGACTTGACATCTGAGGGGGTAATCCTGTGGTTCCATCATAACATTTTTCCCTATTTACATAAATTCTAGAAATATAGAATTATCCCTCATCTCTTGTGATTTATCTTTTAAKCCTAATTTTCTATAAATTTTCTAACATAAAATATTTGGCACACAATAAAACATACATAAGGGAAAATTTGACAGATGTTGAGATACGTTAACACCCTTGGGAATGTCAGCCCAATCAGGCCAAGGAATCTGTCCACCAGCCCACAATCCTCCTTTGACCTGTGCTCCCAGAAACTCTGAGGCAACCACTAACTTTCCCTCTGTGAATATTGGTAAGGTTTTCTTATA